GGGGCGGGCCCCAGCCATTTAAATTTAAATGAAGCCGCGATTATTTTAATCGCGGCTTCATTTCCCTTTTCCGATCTGGCTAATCTACATGCCTCCGTCGAAGGAGGCATGTAGTCTAGACACACCCTTATTGTCTGGTAGAAAGGTTCAAAGCATTTAACATGTAGAAACATAGGCAGGTTGATGAACTTCGAGACTTCATTTGAGTTTTTGCAGGTAGGGAGTGCTATAACGAAGGCTATGAAACAGGGTTTTATTTTTAATTAAACCTCATTTCTTTTTTCTGGATAAGGTGTCTTTTTAGGCAGATACTTGTGCTTGATATCAGGAACTTTTTAGCTGTCTGCATTCCAGAAGAGTGGAAAAATAAATTTTATATTAATTCTAACCTGTCTTTTGAGATACTAGCAACACAAGCTGCCGAAGCCAAGCAGCTTCTCTTCCTTAAGGGGATATGAAAGTCTACAAATACTAGGGAGCAAACTTCTATAGGTGATGCTTGTTGATCCCTTCTCTGAACATCAGTGAGAGAAGCCTATTGTGAGTAAGAGCTATGGCAGGACAGCAAAAGTCCTAGAGAATACCATGGCAGCAAGTTAAGTTGAATAGGAGTAATGTGGGCAGAGAAAAATAAAGGGAAGAGGGGGGATTTTGCTGGTAAGAGGAAAAGAATTTCAGGAGAAACTAAGGGGGAGAAAGAAGACTGTTTCTAAGGCACAGAGGAGATGGTCCACCATGTACTTTGCCAGTAATTTCCATAACTTTGAAGATGCAGCTGAAGAAAGTCAAGACTCTGTTTGAGCAGAGAGAAGGCCTAGTTTTAAAGACAGGCTAGGACCGAACTCCCATGAATATACAGGCCTGTCAGACTATATATTGCCTTGTGGGAGTTAATATACATGATCTCAGTGATAGAAAGTTACCATGGTTTGTGAATTTCTTTCATTTAATAAGTTATGGACTTCCAGCTCGAATTCCTTCAAAGTCTTTTGGTGTCATCATTCATTGTGTGTTGGAAGTAATGACATCAAGCATTATATTAGATTCCCTTATCTTTTATTGCGTCGTGACTTTCTTGGTACTTTTTTTTTTTTCATTTTAACAAACAAAAAATATTTAAGTGAAAGTGCAAAAATCTAATCTGGGAGTGCAAAAGTTTGGGTGTCCATACTCTTTCAGCTAACTTATTTAACAAGCACCGATCACTGCAATATCTCAAGTCCCAATTCAACAAGGCAATAAAGCATATGCGTGTTCTAAATCTGTACTTAGAACACTGCTGAAGCAGTAGAAACCTTTAAGTGATAAAAACTCTAGAAATACAAAGTTAACCGTGCAAATTTAACACGGCATTAACTTTCATATAGAATAGTGATAGAAATGTAGCCGTGTTAGTCTCGGGTAGCTGAAGCAAAATGCAGGACAATGTAGCACTTTAAAGACTAACAAGATGGTTTATTAGATGATGAGCTTTCGTGGGCCAGACCCACTTCCTCAGATCAAATAGTGGAAGAAAATAGTCACAACCATATATACCAAAGGATACAAATTAAAAAAAATTCATCTGTGTTCATTTTTTTTAATTGTATCCTTTGGTATATATGGTTGTGACTATTTTCTTCCACTATTTGATCTGAGGAAGTGGGTCTGGCCCACGAAAGCTCATCACCTAATAAACCATCTTGTTAGTCTTTCAAGTGCTACATTGTCCTGCATTTTGCTTTAACTTTCATATAGTATTCAGTTCCTATTTATATTGAAATTACTTATTAGCAAGTAAACAGGATGTTTATTTTTATAAAAGCAGTAACAACATAGTTATGTTTCTATTAATGGAATTCAGAATGCAATGGATCATAGGCAAAATGTATCTTTAGTAACTCACCTCTATGTAAGCAGTGTCATTATTTGCATCCTTGATATGTGGGAACCAGTCACGAGGAGGTTTAGAAAGATGTTTAGATTCTGTGACAAACCATAGCAGCTTTGGCCACCCTGAGAAACAGACAACAAAGAAAGGCAGTTTTTCCTGAGCTTCTGCTGGACGAATAGTACAAGAGAACCAAAATTATTCTGCACCCAAGTTTATTTCAAATATGTTCCTTACCTGTACAGTGTGTTTGACTGAATATTGCTTATTTTACTCATGTGAGTACCCCACTGGAGCAAATAAAGCCGAATTATTAATTATTATACTTTCTGTACATAGATATAAGACATATTATGTCGAGGCTAGTATTTTCGAAGTTTAGAAACTAACGGCGTATGTGTGAAATGCTCGTCAGTGCTATTTAGTAACGTGAAACTTTGTACAAAATGTAGGTTAAATGAGGGTTAGTTTACCTTTAAACTGTGGTATCTCCCCCGTGGGGCTTTTAGGCAGACCTTTATGGCAGGCATCACTAGTCAAGGCCACAGTAACGCCACAGCTTCCAAGTAAGAAACCTATTTGTTGGCTTCCTGCATCCTAATTGATCACAAAAATAAGAAAAGAAATAAGTGAAATTCATTAGAGCTGTCTGCATGCAGCATGCTTCTTTTGTAGTTTGTTTTGTGCTTAACAGGTACAATGACAAAGTTGTTTTGCATAATTTGGATATGTTCATCTTCACAACCACATATCTATTCAAAAGGACTAAAGCCATCACATGGCTTCATCTTTTACATTTCTTCTATGTTTCCTCCACGAAATAAGAAATAGTTACTTACTGAAACTGTGGCTCTTTGAAGGATGATGTACATGTGCACCAGTGCACTGAAGCCAGAGAATTTTGCCTAGCAGTACCCATAAAAGGGCAGCGCTTACACCTTGTAGCTGCGGCCACTGCCCTGGCTATATATGACATAACCGTTCTGATTCCCCTCAGTTCCTTGACATTGAAAGCCAATGAGAGGAGATTCTGATGCAGAGGAGCTGGGTGATGGGTCATAGAATACATATATCTATCACATCTCGAAGAACCATAGCTACAGTGAGTAACCATTTTGTCTTCTCTGAGTAAATGCAGATGTGTGGGTGATTCACAAGAGGTACCCCACCTGGAGAGGCTTGGAGACTATTGAAATACAGATTGCTGGACTGCCCTCTGAGGCCTGCATTCTCTCTAGAAGATGTGGTAATAGCAGAAGGGTCCATATTTGTATGACTGACCATGTGGCCTCCCTGCAAATGTATAAAATGAACATGTCACTGATAACACTATTGCTGACGCTTGTGCTATCACTGAATGAGCTCGTATCCACTGAGAAGTCATAGCCCGAGTCATTTCATATGCAGTTTTAAGATGAGATCTAGGGATAGTCTGAGCAGAAGCTGCTTATACCTTCATGAAGTCCACAGAGTTACCTTATCCTTGGAGGACTGTGGGTAGGACACACTTGCCATCCGACCCCACAACTCAGAGACCCTCTTTGCAGAGGTAATGGCTATCAGGAGCATGTTTCTCTGAGACGGATGAGGCAGAGGACAGAATGCAAGGGGCTTGAACAGAAGCCCCATAAGAGCTGCCAAAACTATTTTTAGATGCCATAAGGGGACTAGGAACCTGAGAATATCAGAGGACGACTCCTTTCAGAAATCTTGCCACCATGGCATTGAAAAAAAAAGTTTCCTCTGAATGGGGATATGGAACGCTGATATTGTTGCTAGATGTCTGAAGATGTAACAGGTACTCCAAGAAGCCTGGATGGAAGTTCAGGTCAGTTGGGTTCTTTTTTACTCTGGTAAATAGGCTGGCCTAGAAGAGGACTTCCTACTGTTGAACAGGGCTCGTTGCACAGCTGCCAAACTCTTACTCTTTATGTTGCCATACAGCAGCTATAAGGTGCAAGGAGTTAAGCACAGAGAGAAGGGTTTGGCTATCATAATTGTAGGGTCATAATTCAAAATGATCTGGACAAACTAGAGAAATGGTCTGAAGTAAATAGGATGAAGTTTGATAAGGTCAAACGCAAAGTGCTCCATTTAGGAATGAACAATCAGTTCATACATAGAGAATGGGAAGCGACTGTCTAGGAAGAAGTACTGAAGAAAGAGATCTAGGGGTCATAGTGGACAGCAAGCTAAATATGAGTCAACAGCATGACACTGTTGAGAAAAAAAAAGCACAAACATGATTTCGGGATGCATTAACAGGAGTGTTGTGAGCAAGACACAAGAAGTTATTCTTCCACTCTACTCTGCACTGATTAGGCCTCAGTTGGAGTATTGTGTTCAGTTCTGGGCTCCACATTTCAAGAAAGATGTGGAAAAATTGGAGATGGTCCAGAGAAGAGCAACAAAAATTATTAAAGGTTGACAAAACATGAGCTGTGAGGGAAGACTGAAAGAATTGGGCTTTTTAGTTTAGAAAAGAGAAGACTGAGAGGGGACATGATAGTGGTCTTCAAGTCCCTAAAAGAGTGTTACAGGGAGGAAGAAAAATTGTTCTCTTTGGTATCTGAGGATAGGACAAGAAGTAATGGGCTTAAACTGCAGCAAGGGAGATTTAGGTTGGATGTTAGGAAAAAGTTCCTAACTGTCAGGGTGGTTAAACACTGGAATAAATTGCTTAGGAAGGTGGTAGAATCTCCATCACAGGAGATATTTAAGAGTAGTTTGGATAGACATCACAGATGATCTAGATGGTGCTTGGTCCTACCATGAGGGCAGGGGACTGGACTCAATGATTTCTCAAGGTCCCTTCCAGTTCTAGTATTCTATGATTTTGTGATTGTGCTGAAAAAAAAAGATGGAATGGAGAGGAAGTGGTATGGGAGGCTAAACTGACAGTACAAGAAGATCTGAGAACTAACACTGCCTCAGCCACTCTGGAACAAAGAAGATGAGCTTAACTCATCCATCTTGAGTTTGAAGATGATCCAGGGAATGACCGTAAAAAGAGGAAGAGCATACACAAGAATTGCATTGCAGGGGAAGGCATCAGAGAGGGAGCCTGCATGCAGTATAGACAATACTTTGTGTTTTATCATGTTGCCAACACAGTGAAGTATGGGAAAGCCCTATGTTGTGAAAAAGACCTGAAGGACACTCATTTTTAGGGAGCACTTGAAGCTAAGGGAGAAAATCCTACTGAGGTAGTCGGCAAGATTCTGCACTTATGGCAAGAGGACTGCTACTGGAGTGATGTCCTCTTCGACACAGAATTGTCGCAGGTTGATTGCTTCCAGGAAGAGTAACTGGAGTATGAACACCCTTGTTAGTTCACACAGTACATTGTGTTGGTATTGTTGGTGAGTATGTGAACCAGTAATATTGTCCCAGAAAGCCTGCCACGTATGGCTTGAAGTTCCAGCATGTTGATATGGAGGGAGGCTCCTTGTTCTGACCACTTACCAGATACACCCCCCCAACCCAAAAGGGTAAGGAAGCACTGATGACAATTGACTGGGTTAGAAAGGGCTGAAGTGAAAGGGACTCCCTGACTCACACTCAACGGGGTCGCTCCCCAGAGCAAGGAGTCTAGAACTAGCGAAGGAAGGCAAACCAATCTGTCCAGTGAATGCTGGGCTCAACAGTAGATCATCTTAAGCCACATCTGTAGGCAGGAAGGCACAACCTCACAAACTGAACCACCTGCTCACAAGCAGACATGTCCCAACAAGCCTGGATGCCCTAGACTATCATAGAAAGCTGAGATTGCAAACTGAGGTGGGGCTATTGAATTGCCTGGAAGTGATCAACCATCAGGGATTCTCTCAATGCTGTGGAATAAAACAGGACCCCAAGGAACTTGATTTTCTGAGTAGAAATCAAGACAGACTTCCTAATGCTTAAAATGAGTCCTAGTTAGTCAAGCAAACACAGTGTGGAGTTGACATGTGCAAGAAGCTCTCCTCCAGTGTTGTCCTTCAATAAGCCATCATTGAGGTATGGGAAGATGGGAATTCCCTCCCTCACAAGATGTGTCATCCTCACGGCCATGCTTTTCATGAGTACTTGAGAGATGGAAGAGGAACCAAACAGAAGAACTATGTACTAAAAGTGGTGTTCTCCCACAACAAAATGAAAAGCTTCCTATGGCTCTGTAAAATTGCCATATGAAAATAAATGCCATTCTGAGACAACAGAGGAGGCAATAGTGTGACTATGTGCAGCCTTGTGTATCTGATAAATTTGTTGAGGCCATGAAGGTCAAGACGACATCTCATCCCATCCTGGAGGTTTGTACCACAAAGTACTGGGAATACAAACTGTGTCCCCAGCGTCCTGGTGAGGCTTCCTCCACTGTTCCCAATATCAGAAGAAAGATGACATGCTCAATGAGCTGTGTATCATGAGAGGGTTCCCAGAAGAGGGCTTGGGAGAGGGGATGGGGAGGAACTGAATGGCTTACCTTGATATGACAGTGTCTAGGATTGATGAGGTAATCAAACCTTATCCACTGTGAGAAAGGGTGAGGGAAGGGTGGAGCAATGACTGGAAGAGGGTTCTGGGCCAAGCAGTCAAAATGGGCACTTAGCAGGCACATAGGAAGGCTGAGTCCCAAGCCCAACTACTTCCTACCATGAGATCTAGCCCTCCTTCTGGGGTAGTCATGCAGCTTTGGGAGGAGGAGTGATAGGAGGGAGAGTTACAGAAAAGAATGCTGGAGACAGCACTACTAGTGCTGCGCCCCACAGTGGTGTCTCCGTATAGATGACACGTACACTCCCAAGGGCCTTACAATAGTACTAATGTCCTTAAAGTAGACCAAAGCATAAGTCTTCTGAAAAAAGGTCCAGTCGTCAAAGGGCAAGTCCTCAATAGTTTGCTGGAAATCCAATACAATCCCAGAGTTTGGTAGTCAGAAAGCCCTCCTGACTGTAACTGCACATGTCATAAACTTGGCCAAAGCCTCCACAGCACAGAAGATGGACCACGGGGCATTTTAGCCACCAAGCAGTCTTTGGCCATTCACAAAACGCCTCATGAAAGGCGTCAGGCAACTGGTGCACAAAATTGGACATGGATGACCAATTGAGGAAACCATCCTTGGACAGCAAAGCTTATTGATTCAAAATCCACATCTGTAAAGACGATGAGGTGGAAATTGTCTGCCCAGAAGATCCAATCACTTGGGGTGTCTGTCTTTGGGGGTGGATTTCAATCTGTGATATTGAGCCCTTTTATTCAACAAGGAATTTGGGGCTAGATGGAAATAAAACCCGTGAAATTCCTGCATCAGAACAAAATAGCACTTCTCCATTCAATTAGCCACTGGCAGTACTGAGTCCAATATATACCAAAGGGCTCTCACCAACTCAAGGAACACATCATTAATTGGGTGGGCCACTCTCTCCGGGACAGAAAGCTGGAGAAACTCTGCCTAGATGTAAAGAGACATGACTACGCAGCATAAAAGGTTCTGGTACATCTTAAAGTCTCTGAGAGTAGGAGGGGAGGATGAACCACGCAGTATGGCATCGTTTGGAGAGGAGTACGAAGCTCTTGGCTAAGCCAACACTGGCTCTTGTCCCTGGGTTGAT